TTGTCTCACCCCTTCAAGAGCAAGGGAGAATGAAGAAAATAAGATACAAGGAAAAGATTAGTTCAAAGGACTAATGGACCACAACTACCACGGCCTCCACCAGACTGAGTCCAGTACAACTAGATGGTGCCTGGCTACCACCACTGACTGCTCTGACTGGGATCACAACAGAGGGTCCCAGACAAAGCTGGAGAAAAATGTAGAACAAAATTCTAACTCACAAAAAAAGACCAGATCTACTGGCCTGACAAGAGACTGGAGAAACCCCGAGTATGGCCGCCGAACATCCTTTAGCTTAGTAATGAAGTCACTCTAAAGGTTCACCATTCAGCCAAAGATTAGACAACCCCATAAAACAAAACGAGACTAATGGGGCACAACAGGGACAAGGACTAGAAGGCAGGAGGACACAGGAAAGCTGATCTAAGGGGACCCAACGTTGAGAAGGGACAGTGTTGACATGTTGTGTGGTTGTTAACCACTGTCATAAAACAATATGTGTACTGTTTAATGAGAAACTATTTGTTCTGTAAACCTTCATCTAAAGTACAATAAATAAATAAATAAAATAAATTATAAACTCTGTAAGTGCTAAGCAGAGTCCCTGGGTGGTACAAATGGTTAAGCGCTCAACTATTAGCTGAAAGGTTGGTGGTTTGAACCCACCAAGAGGCGCCTTGGAACCCACGTGTGGTGATCTGCTTCCAAAAGGCCTTAAAAACCCTATGAGATAGTTCTAAACTGCACACATGGGGTCTCCATGAGTCAGATGGCAACTAACAACGAGCGCTAAGCATTTTAATTTAATAAAAATGACTTCTGAAAAATTTTAGTAAATAATACCATTTGGGGATAATATAGTTACGAGCAAAATGCTTACTCTGGAATACTGAACTATTAATATAAACTAACTAGCTTTTCATATTTTTTAAACACAAGGATAATGACATTTTATTCAATAAATACTTATCTAAGAGCCTGATGTTGCAACTTCGATAGAAAATAAAGAATAAACTTGGTATTTATAAAATTACTAGCATATTAAAAATTAAATTACTTAAAAAATTACTCATATAAAAAGCTGTTTCAGCACAAACTTTTATCCTTATTCTGCAAATCAAATGTATTATGCCCATGTATTCTATATGTGTTTTGGGGTTCTGATCTGTACATCTGTTTTAATAACTAGCTGATTCTGCTTAGAGAACAGGAGCTGTGAGAAATACTTACCCAAGTGTTAATACAGATAGAATTGAGAACGCATGCTCCATTTTGACACTCATCAATATCGGTGCAGACCTAGTGCAGAGAAGTTTAAGAGACACTTTATTTAAACAGAAATGTGAATAAACTTTCCTTTGCTGTGACATTTTTGTGTGAAGTGAAGACATACAGAATTCCAGGTAGAATAGTAATCCGAGGGTCATTTTCGTCCCTGTTTTTGTACCAGTCTGTACTTAATCCCATTTCACATGATAGTTGCCTATGTAGTAATAAAGTCATTCAGAAAAGATCACTTCTACAATTAATCTGTCCTACAACCATTTTAGTCAAGAAAATTCTTTATTCTGTTTTGGATTCAAAGTACTCTGTCTATCTGAGGATTCCTATCTTTTTTCAGTTCTGGGAAATTTTCAGTTTCCCAATCTTGTCCTATTTTTTTCTGTTCTCCCCTTGGAACTACCATTAGACAAATAGTGGACTTTCTCATTAACATCTTCTATTGAATGTTAACTCTCATTCATATTTTCCACATCTTTATCTCTCTGTGCTGCATTCTGGATGACTTCCTTAGACTCATCTTCCAGTTTATGAGTTCCATGTTAGCTGTGTCTAATCTGTCTTGCCCATATATTGAGTTTCAAATTTCAGTGGTTTTATATGTATATTTTTCCACTGATAAAGTTTTATTTGGCTATTTTTAAAAACTTGACCTTTTTTCCCCCTCACATTGCTCTATGCTTTAATTCATTTTATCCATGTTAACTTATTTTACATTTATCATGTCTCCTCATGGTAGTTTCTTCATATAAACTACCATTTTTGTTTATGAGTTTATCCTTAGTGGTGCTGCTTTTGCTTGTGGGCATTCCACTGGCCCTGCATTTTAAAATGTCCTCGCAAACGGGTATGGCTTTGGCATTAGCCAGAGTCCTGGGGATTTTACTACTCCAGGGCTGGTTTTTGTTTTAATTTTTTAGCTTGTGTTTCTGCATCATATGTGTAACATAGATTTGGACCTAACAGTTGTACGCAGTGCAAGATTGAAGCTTTGATTTATTGTGAGCAATTTTCATTTTAGTCAACCATATCCCAAAGCTAAAGTCAAGTTTCCTTATTGTTTCTTGGGGCTAGAAAAGTTTTTCTAGTTTGTTTTAATGGATAAGGAATTTTTTTTTAATATTGTGGTAAAATTTATATAATAAAATTTGTCATTTGAGTCTTTTTAAATGTATAATTCAGTAGCATTAATTACATCACAATGTGTACAACCATCGCCACCGTCTATTTCTAAAACTTTTTCATCTCCCCAAATGGAAACTCTGTACTCATTAAGCAACAGCTCTTCATTGTCCGCTCCCCTCAGCTCCTGGTAACCTCGAATCTACTTCTGACTCTATGAACTTGCAATAGGGTAATTCTTTGAGGCTTCTTATTTTACTCAGGGAAACCCTGGTGTTGTAGTGGTTAAGAGCTACGGGTGCTAACCAAAAGGTTGGCAGTTCAAATCCACCAGGTGTTCCTTGGAAACTCTATGGGGCAGCTCTACTCTGTCCTACAAGGTTGCTATGAGTTGGAATTCACTTGACAGCAATGGGTATGCAATCGGTATATTTTACTCAGGGGTCTTAGGTCTTTCTAAAGGTCCAAGACTACAACTTCTGTATCCACATAGGTGTTAAAACCCCAGATCCCCACTCGCAGGATCTGCATTCAGCTCCCAACTCCCACAGGTTGCTGTGGGATCAGCTTCCCTTCACAACTTTGGCTTTGAGTTTCCTCTTTGTTTCTGGAAACTACACAGTTCCCTTTACTTCTTTTGATCTTGGCAATGCATTAAAATTTGTTAAATTTTAGCAAGGTGGCCCTCCTCTGCTTCAGTCTACCGTATTGCTGGAAATCCACTGGGAAGTGCTCTTACTAGCTTACATAAAACAGAAACTAAACCTGTTGCATTTAAGTGGACTTTGACTCATAGTGACCCTATAGGACAGAGTAGAACTGCCCCATAGGGTTTCCAAGGAGCGGTTGGTAGATTTGAACTGTCAACCTTTTGGTTAGCAGCTGAGCTCTTAACCACTGTGCCACCAGGGTTCCAGCTTACATAAAGCATCTTCTATTTCATTTTGACTATCATCCTTGGTCTAGCCTCAGAGATTTTGTTTTTAGAGGAGATAAAGAAAAACTTGGGGTCATTACTCTAATGGCTTCTTGTCATTCCTATATGTCTAGCTTGCCTCTCTTTTCTAATCTAAAAAATGATGTCCTCTAGACTCCTTTGATAGGCAGCTAGGAAATAATGAACCCCTGCCCTTCTTCAAAGCCAATAATTTCCCTAAGGTAGTAAAATATATTTATAGGCCAACTATTTTTAAAAGCTGAAAACATCAAAAAGAATTTCACAGTCAGTCAGTTAAATAATGACCAGGATCTAGCAGAACACTTGGAAATAAATGGAGACTGTCATGAAGTACTCAAGTGCTTTATGGCAATTTATATCTTATATAAGAATAAGGGTAGATTTCCTCAGGGTATTATTTCTACTCTTGAAATCCTCTCATCTCTAAAATAGCTACTGATCAGCAACAGTGACTCTGTAAAAGTGACCTAATTTTGCAAAGCATTTATTTGTTTACCTGATTCTCAAGTTATTCTGAAGAACAAAATATTCAACGGCTGTCAATAAAATAAACCTGAAATTATTCCACCTCTTCAGTATTACACCGTCCACCGTTTTTCTAGTGATACCCTATTATTCCAATTTAACAGCTTCCTCCCATCTAGATTTATGAACATATATACTTATAAATGAGTTGAAAAATTGTCTAATTTGCCTATTGTGCACCTTGACATTCAATACGGCATTGACTCAAGTAGGTAAAACGTTATACTTGAGGAGGTGGACATCAACCAAAATTGTTCTGTTCATAATTAAGAAAAAAAAAAAAAAAAGAACAGACAAACTGTAACTTCAGCCCACCTGCTTGTTTAAATTGGCAAAAGTGATTCCAACGCCCTGCACCATGGACCCTGTGAATCCCACTGGGCAGGCATCACATCTGAAGCCAGGAGCCAAGTTCACACAGCGCACGCCCGGGTAGCAGGGATGGTATTTACACTGGAGATAAAAAAGAGTTCAAAGTCTTTAGCCACAATGGTAATACCCTCTCAAATGTTCGTTCATCTGTTTGCATATGGTTATTACTCCACTTAATTAATTTTTTTTGGTGAAAGAGATGAGAAAAAGGAATAAAGGCCTCCAATTCCAGAGTTGTGCATTGAGTCCCTGACCTGTACATTCTGGCCTGTGTTTCTGCATCATCTGTGTAACACAGATATTTTGCTGTGTGATAGGATAATGGCACATCCACATTGAATGGGTCTTTAATGCTAATCAGTCTACCTCCAGTGTAAGCTTCTTGGTATTCTAACTAACTTTTAAAATCTCTGTGAGAGGATAGTGCTCCTAAACCACAGGCTAGCTGTCTGTTAGGTAATAATCCAAAGGCATTATTGAACAAACTACCCAAATGAAAAGGCCTCAAGAAAATAAAGCAAGGAAGCTGTTTCTTCAATAAGATTTACTCCATCAGTATTCATCCCTGTGTTTATGCCCTGTGAAGTCTATGACTATTCGAAGGCTCTTGGAGTCTAGGAGAATGGTTATGATGCTCTTTTTTTTTTTTTTTAACCGCCTCAACTAATGTAAAAAACATAACCATTTCCTGCCCTTTCAAAAAGAGGAAAATTCCAGCTCACAGATAAAAACCAGATGCAGTGCTGTGAAATATGTACAGATGTTTCTCCAATTGAGGGATTGCTAGAGACCATCTTAATTGCTTACTAGCTGGAGAAATAATCAGTCAAGTATTGCCAGGAGCCACAGGGGTGCTGTGGGTGTCAATGTGTGCCTAAGCTCCCTACATTCTCCTCTCACCTCTGTGTCTCCTTCCAGCCTTCCTCCGGCTGGGCGGGAGGGGAAAGACACCTTCTGGTGGCAGCCTTGCTACCTGCTGTGGAGGCTGCTTTGGGACTGAACAAGTGACTGGCTTAACCACGTATCTTGGTACAGTCTCCTTCTGAGGCTCTGCCAGCCAGTCAAACAGCCAGTCCTTGCTGTATGTGTCTCTCTGGTTCCATCCCTGGGCACTTTTGCTTACTCACAGGTTTCTAGGACCCTCCCCACCTCCCCGCCCCAAACAGGTCTTGTTGGTGTGAGATGCCTCTCTGCTCTTCTATTTTAGGAAGCCTGAAGAAATCAGTTGTAACACTTGAAATATATCCTTCCAACAGGATCCTCCCCTTTTTACATTCGCAAAGGCATAGAAAAAGCAAAATGGTAACACAGACTATACACAGAGACATAATCGATGCAGACGTTACAGTGTAAAGCAGAAATCTTAGCATCCTATCAAGGTGGACCAGTAGAACAGTTAGAAAGAGAGATCTCCCCATCAGCATTTCTTCCTCCCACTGCTCTTGTGTCTCATGGTCTGTAAGGAAGTAGTTTTTATGTTGCCTGGGGGACAGCCCAAAAACCAAACCAAACCCGTTGGGTTGATTCTGACCCACAGTGACCCTACAGGGCAGAGTAGAATGGCCCTATAGGGTTTCCAAGGAGTGCCTGGTGGATTCAAACTGCTGACCTTTTGGTTAGCAGCTGTAGCTCTTAACCACTACGCCACCAAGGTTTATAAGCTATAGGGTGTGGAAGATACTTAGGTAGCCCCTACCTGTCTAGTTTGACTTTTACCTCATCAATATCAGAACAGGTGATTCCATTTCCTGTGTAGCCCACAGGGCAGGGCCCACACTGAAAGCCATCTCTCGTGTCAGTACATCGGACGCCTCGGAAACACGAGTTCGGGTCACACCGGCGCACTGGGGGTGTTGGGGATGTGGGAGGTGCTGGGGGTGCAGGGGGCACCAGGGTGTTTGTGGTTGAAGACTGAACGCTGAGAGGACCTAGAGAAAATTAATAGTTCACAGACTTATTCACAACCAGAAAAATAGACCTGAGACCAAATAAAATTTGTGTTCCCAGTGAACTTCTCTTCCCTTCCTTCCAGCTCTGTGCTGACCCCCAGAAACTGCTATCAGTGCAGCCTCCCTCCAGGCCTTTCCTTCATCAGTCTGTGGCCACTCATCTGACTCGGAATGAATCAGTTACTAGAAAAGCACTTACCGCAAGCCTGGCACTCAGCTATGGTGTTTCGCAAAAATGATGTTTCCTTGACCTTTAGAGATGGGGAGGGGGAATAAAAAAGATAAAAAAGGAATACATGACATACAATAAAAAATAAAGGAATCCACATGTAGTTATCTATGCAACACTTCTTAGAGTAGAGCTGGAAGTAGCCTTTGATGTGTTTATCACAAGCTTGTCCTCCATTTCCAGAGTCTTCTAGTAGATCCCTGAGGGAGTGGGCTGTGTTGGGCCATCTAAGGTCTGGATCAGGTTCTTCTCCCTGCCTCTGAGGGCCTGCAACTCTGCTCCATCAGCTGATACAAAGAGCTGCACTGATAAGACTGGGGCTTTTCGGATGATATGTCCTGTTTGTTACCTGTTGTCTCAGAAGATCCTTCACCTCTGCCAATAGGTGGTTCAGTTGTGTCATTTGCCCCAAGAACTGCCGATTAAAGTCCCCTGCAGAAATAGCAAAACATAAGGGGCATTCAACCAGTGACAGGCATTTCTACAGTGACTCAAGAACAAATGATTCCTCCAGAGCATCATCAGGACAAGATGATTCGAAAACCTTGGGTATCTGAATTTAACTAGGGATCGTTTGTCTAATTCACTTAAAAAATAATGATCCTGATAACGATGCCACTGACTAATTAGTCCAAATTCATGTCAGTTATAAAAGTAAACGCAGTTGTCACCAGTTGCCATCGAGCTGACTCCAACTCAAGGCAACCCCGCATGTCAGAGTAGAACATCTCCGTAGAGTTTTCAATGGCTGATTTTTTGGAAGTAGACTGCCAGGCCCTTCTCTTGAGATGCCTCTGGGTAGACTCAAACCTCCAACCTTTGGATTAGCAGCTGACTGCTTAACTGTTTACACCACTCAGGGACTCCAAGTGCAATGAAAATATTCTTTGCCCTGGACTTTGAAACAAGAGCCTGATTTTTTTTTTTTTTTTTTTTTTTTTTTTTTTGTGGAAAATTTCTAGCATTTTATTGTAAAGATTTTCAAACATGCAGCAAAGGTGAAAGAATTTTACAGTGAACACATATCTATAGCCACCATAAGAGCCTGATTTTTGTAAATACATTCTGTCGGGCCGTTCTGCTGACAGCCACCTTCTGGTGATGGGACCCAGCCCATTTGGGGGCTCTGGAGATTGTCTGTGTTGTGGAAGGTGTGCAAACTGCCCCAGGCCCCGCACCTGTGCTTATGGTGGCCAGTGGCTCACTTTGCTGCAGGAAGCAGTCTTGCAGGCTGGCCACCTGGATCAGGGAGCCTCTCACCACCAGCTTCAGCTCTTCCAAAAAGTCCTGGAAGAAATCATATTCATACCACACATTGCTGACACTGTTGAAAAGCAAACACACTTGCATATTTTGCATACAATTTTCATAATAGGGTAGCCTTGTGTACTCCGACTCTGACGTCTTATGTAATTTTGTGGGTTCACATTTTTCCTAAAGCCTACCAGCCCTTTGGATGAAACAAATATGGAAATGGCAATAACCTAGGAAAATGCTGGCATTCAACTTGGCCTAGAGTCCACTGAAATTACTGAGAAAAAGAAAGGCTGTTTGTCTTCGTGGAAAATGAATTATTTCATGGCAGGAGCCTCTTATGAATTACCTGGAATTTGCTTATGGAGTTAAGACTGCAATAAAGAAGGTATTGATCCCAAAGTTAAACAGTTTTGTTTTTAGGATGTTTTGGCTCCAGGTCTTAGAAAAACCTCTGATTTTTCTTAGGTTACAAGAACTAATAAACTGTATATTCTATCATTATTAGGCGGTAGGAACATATGTGTACATTATGGGTTGATAGCAATCTTTTGTTGTTAGTCACAAAATCAGTTTTCTCGCTCCTTTATTTTGCAACTTATACTTTTTATTATAGATAGACACAACTGAAAAAGTTTACGTAACTGTCAACATAAAGTCATCATTCTTATTTTAGAAATGAGCATGCTAAGGATTTTCAGAAGAATTCTACTTTTTAATTTAACTAAGTTGAGATATATGCAACACGCGCTTTGTAACAAATATTACCTTGGACATCAGATCCTAAGCTCCACGGAGGCAGGGCTGTAACTAGTTTGCCCTCCATGGTCTCCCTAACGCCAAGCATGTGCCTGACACGTTACCAAAAACCAAACCCAACCCATTGTTGTCGAGTCGATTCCAACTCATAGTGACCCTACAGGACAGAGCAGAGCCTTCTATAGGGTTTTCAAGGCTGTAAATCTTTATGCAAGCATATTGCTATATCTTTACATGGAGCAGCTGGTGGGTTTGAACCATCAACCTGTTAGTTAGCAGCCAAGTGCTTAACCCCTCACCACCAGGGCTCCTTGCCTGACACATAGTTGACTCTTATTAAAATCTTTGTTGACTAATTGACTAACTGAATGAATGAGTAGGTGACTATGAAGACAGACTCACTGTGGTCCCTGCTGATAGTATAAGGAGGTAGAGCTTTTGAGGAAATTTCAATGACTATATACCTTCTCCTCACTTATCGACTATCTCATTATCCAACATTTTGCATTTATGACAATAGTAAGAAATTTACTGTGCAACTATTTTGCACATTAACAACGTACGTCTGGTAGTAATGAACGCTGAGGTGTGAGGAGAGTAACACTGGTGATGGTCAAGATTATGTGTCAACTCGGCTGGGCCATGATTCTCAGTAGTTTGGCAGTTATGCAATTATATAATCTGGAAGTTATGTAATGATGTAATTTGGAAGTTATGTAATGATGTAGTCATCTTCCATTTTGTGATCTGATGTGATCACCCTTTATTTTTTCATAACACTGATTTCACATAATAAACTGGTCTTTGGAATCTAACCATGTGGATAAGTAAGGAGAAGGTATAGCTTCCATTGACCTTTTCCAGTGAGCCTGCTGATGCTTAACTTTTAGAAACTGACTTATTTGATGGTGGCCACTAATTTCTGAAATGATCCGTAACACAATTTCTGACTGTCATTCTGATTACTTAGGCTAGTTTAGGGATTCAGAAATAAAGTTTAGCATATCTCTGTATTCATTAATTTTTTCATATATATATATATACATACATACATATAACATACGTATATAACATACATACATACATATCCCACTGCCGCCAAGTTGATTCCAACTCATAGTGACCTTACAGGACAGACTAGAACTGCCCCATAGAGTTTCCAAGGAGCAGCTGGTGGACTTGAACTGCTGACCTTTTGGTTAGCAGCCAAGCTCTTAACCACTGTGCAACCAGGGCTCCACATATATATCTATACATATGTATATACATGTACATATATGTATATACATGTATATATATGTATATACATGTACATATGTGTATACATATACATATGTGTGTGTATATATATGTATATATATACACATACACAATTGTCTGCAAAAAAGAAACAAAAAAACCATTGGATTTTAGCTTTCTTTGAATTTCAGCTTAAAAAAATGCATCCTGTTGTCCAAGCACAAAATTCTAGAATAGAATTAATAGTTTTATATTAGTACTAAACCTTTTCAGCCATTCCTAGTTGTAATAGAAATTATGGTCTACGCCTTGCCTCTTCGTAAAAAGGGCTCAGAGCAGCTTGTAACTAAAACACGTATAATGAAGCAATAAAATAGAAATGGAAAATGAGGAGTAAGAGCTAGAAGACAACAGTATTACTGATCATAATAGATGAACATAGTAACTGAGGTCGGGATTGACTTCTATAGCAGATGAAATTCCGGAAGTTATGACCAGTTAGTGATAATTATTAGAAACGAGAAAGAATACAAGGAAACAAAGCACTTTCTAGCACAAAATTCTAAAAGAAATGAATATGGAACTTCTACAGCAGGTGCAATGATAGAAGGAAAACAATACTATCAACATGGTGTAAAACAGATGACAGAGGTGATGGGATTTTTTGAGACCACGTGGAACTGAGCTGGCAATAAGTCCCTTTTTTGTTAGTGGATGTTCTGACAAGACCTGTGACAAATATTGTTCCTAGTGCTTGGCAGCTTGCAATCATTCTTTATTTTCATTAAAATGATAACATTATAGAAAGATTGAAAATATATAAAATAGATAATCCTATCACCCTATGGTAGCTATTTTTATATTTGCTATTTCCTTTCCAATGTTACAATTATATCCAAAGAGTCTCTACTTGTCATCTAAAGCAGAAACCACAATTTTGACTTCACGTTAGAATCAGTATTTAGAAAATACTGATGCTTGGGCCTCACCCCTATAGATTCTGATCCAATTGGTCTTGGGTATGAGCCCTGTATCTGTATTCTTTTTTTTTTTAATTTCTGTATGATTGTACTATGCAGCCAGAGTTAAGACCATTGACCATAGGGTTGAACAGGTTCGTTACATGAACCAACATATTTTCCTCAGCACACTTCTCTGTCTTCCTTGAGCCTTGGCATTCCATCTTTCCACTTTAGAGAATGGTCTTGTTGATTCCTACCTGTGCCTTCCTCTGGAAAGTCCTCAATTCAATGGACTTGGGACTCTGGGAGAGGCCAGAAAAGGCTCTGGGGAGATTGTGAATGGAATCCACTTGGGTGCAGTCCAGGTAGAGCTCTACCGAGCCAGCCCCTCGCTGCCAATTGGTCAGTCTCAGGAGGATCCTGTGCCGCCTCCCGTCAGCCAGCTGCAGGTTGTTGAAAACCACCAAATGAATCTTCCCATCAGTCTTTAGGTAACGGAGGATGGCTGGAACCAAGCACAGACCAATGAACAGTGTGATAAGGGTAAGAGTGTGAAGAATGTACTGAACAGCCTCCTGGTCTCAAAGAAAGAGTGCGAGCAAGTCGTTACCACAAATACTGATGCAACAACATGTTCTGTGTGCCAGGCACTGTTCTAGGCACTGGCAGGGCAGTTGGCGAAACCAGACCCACTATCTATCCTGAGAACGTTTTATGCTGAGGGAGAGATAGACAATCAGCAGCAAATTAAAAATAAACAATATAATTCTATATAGTAATAAGTATGATGAGCAAGCAGAACCCCACCAGAGATAAACTAAAATCTAAGCAGATGGTAAGCTCCTGAGGTCACAAATCCATTAACTCACTGAGCATTTACTGAGCACCATCACAGGGCCAGACACTGTCCTTAGTTGCTTTAAATACTTAATTTCTACTCATTGCACCTCTATGAGATTGGAATCTCTACAGATAAGGAAAGTGAAGTTCAGATAGGTGAAGGAACTTTCTTGAGGGCATAGTAAGTGACAGGACTTGAATTTCAACCTGAGTGTGCACGTCCTCAAAGACAGTGTTGGTTTATTTCATGGCTAAAAGAATGCTAGGCATGGATAGGCCCTTTGTAAACATAAGTTGAATCTGGTGTAATCTGTCATATTTTCCCTCAGTAACCCATCCCAAAACTTAAAAATGCTGTTAGAAAATAAAAGGCATATACCATATCTATGGTTGCAAAAGAAGGACTAAGATGGAGATCCAATATCTTATTTTCTGTTTTGTTTTGTTTTTTTCTATGCAGGTAACTGTCTATTCATATATCTTCCTAAGCTCACTAAATGAAAACTCATGCAAATTTTAAAATTTTGCTTTTCTGTCTTCTTTTTATTCCATTATTGTTCTGAATATATTGGACCTTGAGCGAAAATCTTTTCTTGGATGCGGCCCTTTGTGAATGAAGGCCATTGGCTGAGGTTTGCTATAAAGACCAAAGTGATTTGCTCCCAAGGTCTGAGTGAGTCTACCAATAACACATTCAGGTTCACACAACAGATACCACTCACACCCCCAAATTCATCACCGGAAACAATCCCAGCAACAAGGCAGGAAAGTTGTTTGCAAGTATTCTTGGACAGCTGAGGTAGGAAGCACATCGTTGTAGCTCCAAAGGTCTGACAAAGTCTTTGGCTGCCCCGGGTTGGAAAGCCTTCACATACCATTGGCAGGACTTTTCTGGAGGGTAATTTATCGATTCGTATCAGAACCTTAAACAGGTACAGATCCCATGGCTCAGCAATGCCACTTGTGGGAATTGAAATCAAGGAAATTTTTTTTAAAAGCACCGATATTTATGGATAAGAATCTTTACTACATAAATATTTATTATAACAAATATCTACCACAATATATGTCTAAAAAAGAGAGGGATGGCTACTTAAATTATGCTATAATAATAAAATATAAATAAAGAATTTAAAAATATAAACAATGTGAAAAGACATTACCAGCATTTTGTAATATGAAAAAAGGAAGTTACGAATCAGTATAGTTTTATTCAGGAAAAAAGTTTGTGCGTGCATGTGTATACACACACAAATATGTACATATTATATGTATATGTATGAGTATATGTATCTATATATGTATATACATATATAGAAAATTAGAAGAAAATATATCAACATTAATATGGTCATTGCTGGGTGCTTGGATGATATGTGTTTTTTTTTCATCTTACTCATCTTCATTGTCTAATTTCTCTACAAGAAACATGAATTACATAATACAAAAAGTGAAAAAGAAAAGAAACATACACACATAAACCAACTGTGTTACTGTCTATCTATGATTTGTGGCAAGTAACTCAGACCATTGTTTCTCAGGTCCCTTTTCTGTAGAATGTAAATGCAAACCTGGGGCTGCCTGGTAGTCTAGCTAGCCGTAAATACCTATTTATGTTGTAGTATCACAAAAAAATATCCCCAAGCAATCATTACCACGAATCTTTAAGGATATATTTTAAGTCTTCCTCCACATTAGACTTTCTGAGTTCATTTTCCCATCCCTTCTAAACTCTGACTAGATTTGCTTTTCCCATTTGACCATGGGTGGAGAGAGCCAGTTGGCCTCAGGTTCTGTGGTGCAGAGAGATGCCGTGCAGGAATCCGATGGAAAATCTTCTTCTACCGCTACCTAGTCACCACCACTTGCTTACCGAAAGAAAAGAATTGGTAAGGTCTGGCAAGACAGACTAAATAGGTGGAATTTCTATGAATATACTAAATACTATATGATACTATAACTGTATTGTACTAAGTATTGGTAAGACATATGTGGTATGAGAGATAGAAAAAAGTGGGAAGGAAGAAGATAGACGCAAGTGGAAACTCTTCAGGTATTTCAAATCTGGGATACAACAAAATTTTTTACTTTTTTATTTAATGTTAATTGTTGAGAATTTACAATAGTAACTGTGTGGCTGGAAATTGGAGCACATACAATACCCAAGGGAGAGAGGAGGAAACTAAGCCCAATTATATGCACAAATTCAATTTTTTATGTCTTCTATTTCTTGATTATTTAGAACAGTTTTGCAAATACCTGGAGTTTTTACAGGCCAAGAAAAACTCCACTTGGACCACCAGACTTGAATTAGGTCAGACACACATTTACTCACTGTCTCTGTATTCTAGTTACGGTCACCACCTTCTGTTCCCATATTAACAGTTTAAGAGGATACACATAGTGGCTTAAAACAAATACTCTTTTTTAAAAAAAAATTTTCCCATACAAAAATTTATACATACCTTGTTATGTGACTCTAAGTGCTCTCCCCATACTGTGACAGCATACTTCTACTTTCCACCCCTGCTTCCCCACGTCCATTCAACCAGCTCCTAACCCTCTCTGCCTTCCCATCTCACCTCCAGACAGAAGCTGCCCGTTAGTCTCTTGTATCTACTTGAGCTAAAAGGCACACTCCTCATGAGTATCACTTTATGTCCCACAGTCCAGTCCAATCCCTGTCTGAAGAGTTGGCCTTTGAAATTGTTTCAGTTCTGGGCTGATAGAGAATCCGGGGGTCATGCTTTCTGGGATTCCTCCAGTCTCAGTCAGACCATTAAGTCTGGTCTTCTTACTAGAATTTGAGTTCTGCACCCCACCTTTCTCCTGCTCCATCCGGGACTCTCTGTTGTGTTCCCTGTCAGGGTGGTCATTGGTGGTAGCCGGGCACCATCTAGTTCTTCAGGTCTCAGGCTGATGAAGTCTCTGGTTTATGTGGCCCTTTCTGTCTCTTGGGCTAATACCTTCCTTGTGTCTTTGGTGTTCTTCATTCTCCTTTACTCCAGGTGGTTGGGACCAACTGATGCATCTTAGATGGCTGCTTGCAAGCTTTTAAGACCCCAGACGCCACTCACCAAAGTAGGATGCAGAACATTTTCTTAATAAGCTTTGTTATGCCAATTGACCTAGATGTCCTCTGAAAGCATGGTCCCCAGACCCCTACCCCTGCTACTCTGTCCCTCAAAGTGTAAAACAAATACTCTTGGTTTTCCTCCCCAAACTCAGATTTCTGTGAAACATATTTCAAAGGAAACATATTTTCTTGGGCATGTTGCCTACTTTTAACAGGCCTTCATAGGGCATGTGGGCCATGGTTTATTTTCATAACTGAATATCTGAGTTTAATTTTATAAATAGTACCTAGAGGAGTACTTTGCACATAACAGGTGCACATTAAATGTTGTGAATATGAAATTTAAATGACTAATTAAAGCTTGCATTTAAAGCACTGCATATATAAAATAAAAATGTTTAGAGAATTACAATTTAACATCTTATCCCATCTTATTTCAGATAGCAAAATCCTACTATTGTGTTCATACCCTCATTTATGGTGGCTTCTGTATTTCTGCCTTGCCTTTGTGGCTGTGCAACACCGAA